ACCCAACTACAGAACTTTCGTTAAAATAGCATTTGGTATCACTTATATCTCTCAACTGCCTCTGCGTTGTCTATAAAGCAAAACGGCTAAAGGCAAACTGTGAATTACTTCCTTTTTGTGGAAGTGGGCCTTGCACATCCTATGCAGGAACCCTATCAATAAGTTGGTGTGTTTGGAATCCCAGCACTTGGGAGATGAGGGCAGAAGGATCAGAAGTTCAAGGTTATCCTTGACTAGCCTGGGCTAAAAAAGACTCTTTCTCAGAAAACAAACAAACAGTGAAAAACTGTAGGAACACACTTGTCAGAATTATCAGAGAGAAGAATTACTAGCATCTTCTAAAAGGTACTGAGGGGGCTGATGAGATGGTTTAATCAGAACAGATGCTTGCTGCCAAAGTGACATCCGGGGTTCTATCCCCAGATACTACTAGTGGCAGGAGGGAACAGATTCCTGAGGGTTATCCTCTGACCTCCTCACAGTGAGGTGAAATGTGAGCCCTTGATCACACACACACACACACCACCTGTGCTGATTAGCTTGTCATAATCTTGGCATAAGCAGGGTCATCCAGTAGCTTTAGTCAGGGTTCCCATTGCTGCCATGAAACACCATGACCAAAAGTAATCTGGGGAGGAAAGGGTTTATTTCACTCCCGGTTCCATGCAACAGTTCACCACCAAAAGCAGTGAGGACAGAAACCCAAGCAGGGAAGGAACCTAAGGCAGGGGCTGACGCAGAGAGCATGGAGGGGAGCTGCGGACTGGCTTGCTCACAGCCCGATCTCATGGAGACACTTTCTCAACTGAGGCTCCCTCCTGCCTCTCTACTGACTCGAGCTTGAGTTAAGTTGTCATAAAACCAGCCAGTTCATCTGCCAAGAGGAAGTATCACTTGGGAAAATGCCCCCATCAGAATGGTCTATAGGCAAGCCTTTGAAGCCTGGGAAGGTGTGGCTGCATCACAGAAGGCAGCACACAGAGCAAGTCATAAAAAGCCAGCTAGTAGACCACTTTCCCCCATGACCTCTGCTTCATTCTGGCCTCGGGTTCCTGCCTCGGCTTCCCCTGAAAATGGACTGGAATCCAAAAGCCAAATGCGCCCTTTCCTCCCCAGGTTGCTGTTGGTCTTTCTCACAGCAATAGAAAATGCAAACTAAACTGTACCAATAAAAAGGCATTGTTGTTGGTCAGACGATGGCAGCACATGCCATCTGGGGGGGAAGAGGCAGCCAGATCTTTGTGAGTTCGAGGCCAGCTAGTTCCAGGACAGTCAGGGCTACACAGAGAAGCCCTGTCTCAGGGGAAAAAAGGCATTGATGCTAGTTATTCTTAACATTGCTAGAATAAAGCTGAATTGGATTCAGGATCTATTCATAGCTTTACTTTTATTCAGTTTAACTTATATATGAAAGCCCATGTATTCTACTTCAAGTTAAATTTGACCTAGGACTTAAACATTGAGAGGCATGATATAATAATTGATTTCCTTTTATTTATTCATAGTCACGTTAATTTTAATTTATTGCTATAGTTGGTAGAACATTTATGAATATAATTTTATTTATTTGTTTATTTATTTGTTCTCTTTTTTAAAAGATTTATTTATTTGTTTATTATAGAGTGTTCTACCTGCATGTATGCCTGCTTGCCAGAAGAGAGCATAGGATCTCCTTACAGATGGTTGTGAGCCACCATGTGGGTGCTGGGAACTGAACTCAGGACCTCTGGAAGAGCAACCAGTGCTCTCAACCGCTGAGCCATCTCTCCAGCCCCTGTTTTCTCTCTCTCCTCTCTCTCTCTCTCCTCTCTCTCTCTCTCTCTC